ACCAGCAGCTGCCCTTCGCTGTCCTCCTCCTGTGGTCGGCATCTGGAAAACCATTAGCGCCGCCTTTCCTAGCGGGAGCAGCTGGGGCTCGGCACCCTCATGTGCTACTACCAAAACTTGGTTACTTGGGCATGTTACTACCAAACTGGCACAGCTTCGTACAGGAACTTTTGGAAAGCTCAGGTATTCTACAGATTTGATCTTTATTGAAAACACGGACATACTGTCCTGGCAAAAAGCACAACTAATATTGAGGACACATTTAAGCTCCTTTTTCGGTTATGATCATTCATCTCCAAAGTCAAAAGCAAGAGGCAGGTGTGCATGTAAAGGAAAAACTAAGGCTGTTTATTAGCTTTACATGGAAATGTGCAGTTATTGTATTTCTAAGTTCACCTTTTAGTCCAAGCTCTTTTCTGCTGTGTTATTTTGTCTTTGAACACCAGAAAACCCACTCTGAGCAACACTCATACTGCAGAAAGGACTGTGACAGCCACTAGATATGTGGCATGGTTCTACATCCACGGTATTCGTTAGCCTTGGAAGAATTCCATTGCCATTCTACAACTGGAATATCAATTCTATAAAAATAAATAAAAAGTAAAAAACGAGAACAAATGCAAGCTTCTATTACTCAGGAGAACACGTTCCTAATCCCATGTGGTGCTCCTGCAGCCCCTCTCCTGCGATCTATGTCCTACCAAAGGATACTCCACTACTTCTCTCATGCACGCTGCATTTTCTGCTGTTACCTCTTGCCGACTCAAGCTTTCCAGCACCCTCACTCTGTTGCAATAACAAAATAATTGCTAGTTTAGGTTATTTCCTGTCATGAGTTAAGAAACTACTGGGAATATTCATTTTAGGCACCAGAAGGGCATTCATGCTGGCCCTTGGCTGCTGATTCAGACTTTGGGATAGTTTTCCAAAGTGAAACTCCTACCAGAAACCACTGCACCATAGAGAAAATTGTTCCACTTCCACAGGCTAGGGAAGTGCTTAATTAGGAGGAAGAAGAAGGGAGAAGACAAACACACAGGTACCCCCTTTCTATCGCCCACCCACTGTGCAGCCGTAATATCCCCCAAAACAGGGGGGCCATCTCAGGAGCCTGAAAACAGGGAGGTAAACAGCAAAAGAGCAGAGAGGACAGAAGGGGCCAAGACGAAAACTCCCTCAGATTTGCCAGGTGGATTAGAAGAAGCAATTAGAACAAAAGTGGCACTTGTAGCATGGGTAGAATTTAGGCCGGAAACAGGTTTATCACTACAGCTATTTTTAATTACAGTGGGAGATGATAGAGAACATCAGGAAATGGTTAGATAAAAATAATAGATGTGTTTCCTCACATGATAGCCACTAGCCTATCTAAAGGCTTATTTGGATACTTTGAGCTTAGTTTTTAAACACTGATGCTTCATTTATCTTCTTTCCAACTCTCATGTCTCAATTCCAGCACATTTATTGATAGAACTGGCAAGCAGTTATGGACTAAAACAAAAGGTTTAGAGCACATGGGATTAGCCTTTAAAAGCAGTTCAGGAAGAACAGGCACATTCTTCCCTCCCTACTCTACTTGGAAGCAGCTGCCCAGTAAGCATCTCTTACCAATCTTCTAATACACAAAACTGAAGCACTGAAAAATAGAGCCAACGCAATAAGAGTACGGCTTCCCACATCTATTTTAATATTCCTATTTTTTATTTCAGCAAAATCTACAAGGATTTGGAAAACGAGTTCATTTTTCCTTCCCTCTGAAACTCTGATCTTCACCACAGTCCAGCTCACCCTAGGCCCACAGTGGCAGGGACTTCATGCTCCTTTCACCAGCTACCGAGTTACTCTTGAATCATTTCTCAGCCAGCAGTGGCCATCAGCATTTCCTATCTAGATCGGACAAACACTTGCAAATACAAAGCCATCTATCTACATTTTTAGGTGTATGCAGCTGTACCATAAAGATTTTTAAATAGGCTTAACAGAAAGCAGCAGCTAGATGCAGCTAAAAAGGGACATGCTCCATACCCTGTTCCACTCCTTTCGCATCAAAGGGCACTGGTGACAAAGGGTAACAACTTGCTGCACTGTTTGTAGCCATCAGCAATGTTTTCTTTCAAAAAAATATTGCTTTCACACTTCTCTAATAATCAATAGTATAATAGATGGCTGGGCTTTTTTTATCATCATTCAAAATGCAACTGCTCTGACAGATGGTAAGAAGTGTCCTATTGCCGAGTTCTTCTGCAGTTAAAAGATGTGGCTCCATCTGAGAAGTAACATTATATTCCCATGTCCCTCACAAGCATTACATTTCTCTGGGAACATCTTGTAATTTACAACCTCATTTTTTCCTTTGCAGCAGATCAGCTTGCGAGATCATAATTACTACTTGCATAGATAAGGCACAAAACTTTTTTTATGAAAACCATTACGCTCCTGAAACATTTTCTATCCACAGTTGCCCTTTGGGAATTCTTTTCACTCTTTTTTTTTTTTCTCCTTTTAAAAGTATTTTAAAAATACATTTTAAAAACGTGTCTTGTGCTGAAAATCCTTGTCTTTTTGTATTTCTTGTATTTTATTTCTACAGCACCAAGGCTGTGGTGGGGTCTTCACATACTTTTATTGGGGATTCACATACTTTAAGAGGATAATGCAACAGAAGAGTGAAATGAGCATATTACCAGATCCAGTGCCACCAAAATCCTCATCCAAAGTCTATATGTCCTTCCACCCTCATGATCCTGCTTCAGTCTTATTTAAGAAGGAAAATACTGCAAGTCAGGAGGATTGCTTTGTAATGACAGGAATTGTTTCAGAGTTGAGAAAAACATTGTGCAATATGTTTTCTTTGAGTGAAAAACTTGCCCTCATGTTTTCCATGCCCACTCCTGAACTTCATTTTTTCTTTTTTAATTCGGGTCATTTTGGAGATGCAAAGGGGCCCACAAAACAGTTCCAACAGTCACAGAGGCAGCACGCTGTGGCACCGGGTAGGAATTGTGATGCCAGATACGTCTGTGGGTTTCTTGGCAAGAGACCCCAACTACTTATCAGATAAATATACCCACAGATGATGTTTTAGGCTCACTTTGGAGGACCGATAGCCTGAGGCTGGAGCTTGAAAGCAAAGAATTTGAATTCAAGAATAACTTAGTGCAACTTCTACCACGATGCAGCAGTCTTAGTGACTGGCTTGGGGTTTCCTATTCTTTTATTGGTTTTGGATTTTTTTACTCTAAGGAAAAGGCTGAAGCAAAGTCAGGGGATCCAGAAGAATAGGAAGGAATTACTCACGGTCACTGGGTCTTAGCTGCACTGAGGTCTGCATCCATTTCACTCAGGACACGCAAGCCAGATCATTTCTGTTTGTGCCGTACCATGCCTTGGTCTCGCTGTGCTCTCGCTCGCTCAGCGTGCGGGCGCCACGGGACTGCGGCAGTGCGGCGGGACCCGCGGGGCTCCAGGTACCAGGACAAGGACCCCGCGGGTGTCACTGCGGCCGTGGCGAACGCCCCGGCAGCCAAGCGCATCGACCTGCCCCGACAAGTACCGGGAACATTTCCGAATTTGTGCCTTTGGGAGTGCTGGGGACTCGCTGTCTGCTACTAAATAAAGGGAAGCCAGGAGTTTCCTCCCAACACAAGAAGTTGAAGCAGCATAGAGCATTTCAACCAAGGAAGAAACTACCTTACTCATGAGCTTCGACATCTACCACATCTAAGATAAAAACAAGCAAACAAACAAACCCCAACACTTTTACTATCCTTCTCTTCCGCTCTTCTTTAGAATTCCCCAACACAGCAGAGCACTCTGCTCTTATCAACCATCTATAGCCTTAGAAGAAAGGGATCAGAGTCTCATTTCCTCCTGATAGAGGAGGTTGGAATTAAAAATAATTTTAAACCCCACAGATTAAAACAAATATTAAGCAAATCTGGAAAATATTTCACTGAAAATATACAGCATTAAGTCTAAGGGGGGTTTTATATTGAGCTTTAACAACTTTAACTTGCAATTTCGAGTTGGAATCTCCATTTCTGCGTTAACAAACCTTCAATACGCAAGTGAGTGTCTGCATTAATGGAGTATGAGACAGCAGCGAGAAGTGATTGATTTTCACTTTACGTTGTTCGGCGGTGGCGGAGGCTTCCCTCTTCCACCATTCACCACAGCACAGAACCAAGTCACTCAGCAAGGCACAGAATCCAGCCAAAAATCCAAACGGTATTCCACTGAAGACGAGTGGACGCTCCCCTGTTCCCACCCTGTCCCCTCCATTCGGGGTGGGGAGGGCAGCAAGGGCAGGAGCGGGAGTTTCGCGCAGCTCCCGAGCACGGAGCCGCCGCGCGGTGTCACCGCGGCCCCGCTCCGCTCCCGCAGCGCGGCGGGGAACGGGCAGCGCGGCCCCCCGCGCGGACACGCGGCCTCGCCGCCCACAGCGACAGCCTCTATCTCCAGCACGTTAAGGGCCAGCAGGGGAAGCCCAACTGCGAGAAGGAAGAGACTGAAACTTCACTGCTGGGATAACGCGCACATAAAACCAATTCACACTTGAGGCCCCCGACATCTGAAGGGGCCCACAACACAAAGCTCCCTCCAACCCGCTCCTCTCCGAGCGGCAAGCACCATGTGTGCAGCAGGCAGAGCACAACAAACCCAGGCTTTAAAACCGCTTCTTTTCGCCCGGGACTGAGGTTTAACACGGGGTTTATCCCCCTCCAAGGGCAACGCAGCGAGCCTGGCCGCGGCGCGAGCAGAGCCCGAAGGCGGCTCCGAAGCGACCGGGCGCGCAGCCCGAGTTTCGGGACGTGCCGGCCGGCAGCAGCGCCCTCCCTTCCCCTCCGCCGCGGGGTGCCGCGGCGCCGGCAGGGGAGCCCCGGCGCGGCTCGAGGGGCGGTCGGCCCGGCGGGAGGAGCGCGGGGGCTCCCGCCGCGCGCGGGGAAGCTCGTGGCGGGGCAGGCAGCGGGGAGAGCCCGGCGCGCCCGGCCCCTACTCACCCGTCGGGCCGGCAGCGGAGGCGCCGCCGCCGCGGAGCAGCGGCCCCACTTCCTGTG